CACACACACACACACACACACACACACACACACACACAGGCTGCATGCAGCTGCACTCTCAATTGACAAAGACTTTTCTTTATTCTTTTTTTAATATATATTTTTATCTTTTATTTGTTGTACTTAGCTGTACATGATAGCAGAATGCATTTCAGTTCATCGTACACACATGGAGCACAACATTTCAATTCTCCAGCTGACAAAGACTTTTCATGTGTGCTTTCTCACTCAAGTCTCATGGCAGCCCAGTTTTACTGACAAACTAACGTGAATAGGTTATGCTGCACGGATGGCTGCTGCCCTGCTGAATGCTGCCTCCTTCTCTAGGATGCGCCCTGGCAGTGCAGCCACAGGCTGCCCCCGCCAGGCCTGTCCCCATCCAGTCCACCGATTCACAGGCAGACCACTGCCCTGAGCCGAGTCCTCCAAGGTCTCTCCTGGGATTTTGCAAATTGGAACAGAGAAGCAGGACAACCTGTTGCCACAAAGCACTGACACAGGGTGTCAGAGTGGATCTACCCAACTGCTGCCCCAGGCTTCCCAGGCCTAAATGGTGAGGTTTCTTCCCAATTTTGAGTCATTATTGATCTCTCTTCTTCATAATGATTTATCATGACTTTTTTTCCAATCATGATATCCTAGAACTCCTCCATCAGCTTTTTCTTTCCCCTCTGTCATTTAACTTCTGTTGACTAAACAGGTAATATAACAGGGACGGGTGACAGGCGATTCAGAGAGAAATACAGAATTTTTACAAATTTTCATTTGTGGTATTAAGAGGGGAAAAAGCACTGTAACTCCCCTTTCTGTTTCCAAACCGAAAAACACCACCCACTGAAACAGAATGAGGAATATGCTGGTCGACTCCTGCCTGCAATCTCCAACTCCAGGGCCTCACAAGGGGGGGCCCAACTTGTGAGACAGGAGGACTCGGTGCCCCAGGGCAGATGGATGCTTCCGCTGATACTGAAAACTGTGATTCTAGGAGGAGAGAAGTTTAACCCTACAATTTTTCAGAGGTGAAGAGAATAAAACAGCATGGGAAACCATCAAAAATGAATGCAGGTGACTGGTTAAAAATATGGAGCTGAACATTGTTAAGTACATAGAAAAATTAAGCAAGTAAAAAAAAATGTCTAACTTCAGGGATAGTAAAAGGGGAGGAAGAGGATAAAAATGATAATGTCAGTGTTACCTCATGATTCAACCATGAAGATCATGTACATTAATAATTATGGTAATATAGCCTGATGTGGTGGCACCTGTCTGTAATCTCAGCGGCTTGGGAGGCTGAGGCAAGAGGATCGTGAGTTCAAAGCCAGCCTCAGCAAAAGCGAAATACTAAACAACTCAGTGAGACCCTGTCTATAAATTTAAAAAAAAAAAAAAAGTAATATAAACAATAACTGTTGGCCTAAACAAAATGTACTTGTTTCAGGACAGGAAATTTAAACCTGTGTAGAGAAAAAATGATAAATCACCTGCCCCCAAAATTCAACAGATAATTCCTTTGGGAATACCCTTTCCTCCAGGGAAACATGAATGGGACATGACTGGTTTTTAAAACAAACCTTTTGAGCTAGGCATGGTGGTGCATGCCTGTAATCCCAGTGACTCAGGAGGCTGAGGTAGGACGATCACAAATTCAAAGCTAGCCTCAGCAATTTAGCCAAGTCCTAAACAATTCAGGGAGACCCTGTCTCAAAAAATAAAAAGGACTGGGGATGTGCCTCAGTGGCCCCTGGGTTCAATCTCCAGCACCAAACAGTAAAAATTAAAACAAACATTTTAGGTGTTTTTGTAAGGTGCTCAGGATGGAACCCAGAGCCTCACACATTCTAGGCAAGTACACTACCAGTGAGCCACCCCCAACCCCGCTTTTAGAATTTTGACCTTTACTATATGTAACTGCAACATATGTGGCATCTTCATTTCTATCATCTATGGGTAAGATGACCGCAAAACTCTGTTATGCTTTTAATTTTTTTCAAAATAACAGTTATGAATTTTACAAATAAACAAATAATTTTAAAATTTGATAAAGGTTCAGGATGGCAGCACACAGAGACAAAGCACACGGTAACTATGACGCAGCTCCCTGGCCAGGGGTCTCCACATTGCCAGAAGATAAGCAGGAAGGCACAGGCTGGCAGTTCTAATGACGAGAGAATTTCTTAGTGCTCATAGTCTTTGAAACTGGTGTGGGGAGCTACCCATGTGACTGCTTTGCTCCAGAAAAGAAATGCATATGGGCAATCCCACTCCAACCTCCAGAGCTTAACTTAAAACAGGATGTCACCTTGGAAATGGAGTCACTGCTACAGTCCATCCTGCTGTAGGGGCCACAGGGCCCCAGCAGCATGGTTGCTCCTGCCAGGAACCCCAGTACCACTGGCACACACCTCTACAAAGACTGAGGACAAGCCTCTCCACAGCCTGTGTCCCTCGATGTCATATCCACCATCATCATCACTCTTCAACTGTGGTCATGCATCTTTGATAGCCTGGGTCCATTCCAAAGTTCTACCACTATTTCCAAAACACCTGCAGTCTAGACTGCTGAGGTACTCTTAGATGTGATGCTAATTACGGATGGCTAAAGAAATGACAAGGAAGCTACAATTCTGGGCAAAATCAAAGCCAGTGCACCTACCTGACATTTTACACCTTAGCTACATACCAAAGTCTTTCCCTATGAAAGTTTCTTCATAAAATTGGAAGAGGCAACTATTACACCAGATGCACAGACATCAACATACAGACATAAGAAGCACAAAATTCTCCAGAAACTGACCCCAGTGTAAAGGAAATCTTCTTATTTGATTGCCTGAAAAGGAATTCAAAGTAACAATTCTAAGGAAACTCCTCGAGATACAATAGATAATAAGAAGAGGAAAACAATTTATGATCTGAATGAGAAATTCAACAGATAAAAATCATAAAAAAGAATGAAATAGAAATCTTAGAGCTAAAAAAATCTTCAATTTGAGGCAGCATGGACAACTTAAAAGTAAGATCCTATTTCAGAATCAATTTTTAAAATGGACTAGAGATGTAGCTCAGTGGTAAGAGTACTTAACTAGCATGCATGAGGTTCTGGGTTGCAAAAGAAAAGAAAATAAAGAAATGAAGGAACTCTCACTGGTAAAACAGACACACACACAAGAAAAAAATCAAACTTTATCACTACAGAAACCACCAAACCATAGGATAAATCAGAGAGCCAGAGAGGAAAAAAGAATACACAAAATAATCAAAAAACAATAAACAACTTGTCAATAACCTTGAATATAAATGGACTAACTTCTCCAATAAGAAGATACAGACTGGTTGAATGAATAAAAAAAGAAAAGAAGACCCAAACGTAGCTTTACAATCACCAGAAAAGACACATGTAGACCAAAAAGTGAAAGCATGGAAGAATATTCCACACTCATGGAAACCAAAAGCAAGTAGGTACTATACTCATATCAGATAAAAGAAACTTCTAAGTCAAAGATTTTGAGATAGGGCAATTCACGAGAGGATACAAAAATTGTAAGTATATACAAACCCAACAACAGACCATCTAATTAGGGAGATACTCCAGAACAATAATATTTGAGAGCATCAACACCCCATTTTCATTAATGAATGTATCATCAGACAAAAAATCAACAAAGATACATCAGAGTTGAACTATATGCCATGGAGCTAATGAACCTAACATGATTTACAAAACATTTCAGCCACTAACTGTAGAATGCATTCTCAGCAGCACATGGAACACTCTCCTGGAGAGACCAAACAGTAGTCCACAACCAAGCTTCAATACCTATAACAGTGAAATTACATCATGCATCTTCTCTGACCCAAACAAGACTGGAAGTCAACAACAGCAATGGAAAATACACAAACATATGGTCTTGAGCAACCAATGAGATGCTGGAGAAACTAAAAAGAAAATAAAAAATTTCTTGAAACACATGGAAATACAACCCATCAAACTATGTGGAATACAGCAAAATAAGGATTAGAGTGTTACATGTTAGGGAAAAAACTAGAAAGATTTCCAATAACCTAATGATATACCTCAGGAGCCTAGAAAAAAGAAGAAAAGCCTAACCTAAAATAGAAGGAAAGAAAAACTAACAATGAGAACAGAAATAAACAAAATCAAGAGGTTTTTTTTGGTTGTTGTTGTTGTTGTTTTGGGTTTTTTTGTACTGTGGGTTGAACACAGGGTTGCTCTACCACTGAGTACATCCCCAGCACTTTTTACTTTCTATTTTGAGATGGGTTCTTACTAAGTTGCTTAGGGCCTTGCTAAATTGCTAAGGCCAGCCTTGAACTTGTGATGCTCTTGCCTCAGCCTCCCAAGTCACTGAGGTAGGGTTGGGCCACCATATCTGGCTCAAAATAAGGACTTTTTAAAACAAAAGAGATCAACAAAATGAAAATCTGATTTTTGAAGATAAAATTGATGCCCTTGGCTGGCTAAAAAGAAGAAAACTCAAATAAAATTAGAGATAAAAGAAAAGATGTTACAACTAATACCACAGAAATACAAGCAATCATAAAGAAGAGTAAAACTATGACATTTTCTGGTAAACAGATGCAACTGGAGACTACCATGTCAAGTGAAATAAGCCAGTCCCAAAAAACCAAAGGCCGAATGTTCTCTATGATATGTGGACACTAACCCACACAAGGTAGGGTGGGGAGGGGAAGAAAGGAAGTTCACTGGATTAGACAAAGGGGAGTGAAGGGAAGGGAGAGGGGAAGAGAGTAGGAAAGACAGTAGAATGAATTGGATGTGACTTTCTTTTGCTCATAAATGAGCACATGACTAGTGTACTGTGACCACATCATGTACAACCACAAAAATGGGATCCTAACTGGGATGGGTTGTACTCCTTGTGTGTACAATGTCAAAATACACTCTGCTGTCATGTATATCTAAGAACAACAGATAATAATAATAAAAAGATTAAAAAAATACAGGCGATCCTAGGACTCTACTATGAATAATTATACACTACCAAACTGAAATACCCAGAAGAAATGGATAAGTTCCTGGACACATACAAGCAACCAAGATTCAATCAAGAAGTAACAGAAAATCCAAATCAATTTCTAATAAGACGTGAGACTAAAGCATTAACTGGAAGTCTCCCATCAAAGAAAACTCTAGGATCTGATGGCTTCACTGCTGAATTCTACCAGACATGTCAAGATTATTTCAACTCTTCTCAAACTATTTTAAATAAACAAAAAAGAGGAAACTGTGTCAAATAATACCTACAGGGTCCTTCCTCCAAATGCAGACAATGACGCACACACAAAGAAAACTACAAACTGCTCTCACTGATGAACACACATGCAAAAATTCTCAACAAAATACAAGCAAACCGAATTCAAGAGCACATCAAAAACATTATGCACAGTGGGATGCACCTGTAATCCCTATTATTCAAGAGTCTGAGGCAGGAGTATCATGAGTTCAAGGCTAGCCTGGGCAACAGTGAGATCCCTGTCCCAAAAAAGACTTTGGGTTGGGGATATAGTTCAGGGGTAGAATACTTTCCCACCATGTACAAGGCCCTGGGTTTGACTGCTCTCCAGCACAGCGACTTTATAACAACAAAAAAAGATTTACACCATGATCAAGTGTGATTTATCCCAGGAATGCAAGAATGGTTCAACATGCACAAGTCAATAAGAGATAACAGATGATATATCACATCAACAGAATGAAGAACCAAAACCTTTATGATCATCTCAACTGATGCAGAAAAATCACGAGATGATATTTAACGTCGCTTCGTGATAAAAATTCTCAAAAAATTAGGCAGAGAAGAAACACAACACAATAAAAGTTATATATAACAAACTCATAGCCAACATCATACTGAAGAGGGAAAAGCTGAAAGTGTATCCTCTAACATCTGGAACAAGGCAAGGATGATATGATTTTATACCCAGAAAAACCTAAAGACCACTCCTGCCAAAAAAGAAGCGATAAGCAAATTCAGTGAAGATACAGGATATAAAATTAACATACAAAAAAGCATTTTTTAAAAAAATTAGTTGTAGATGGACACCTTTATTTTATTTATTCATTTTTTTAATGTGGTGCTGAGGATCGAACCCAGTGCCTCACGTGCACAAGGCAAGAGCTCTACCACTAAGCCACAACCCCAGCCCCTCAAAAAGCATTTTTATACACCAATAACAAATTTGTTGAAAAAGAAATCAAGGAAGCAGTCTCACTTAGTTGGTGTTTGTCATGCCAGATGTAAGACAGATTTTGAACTCAAGTGCTCTAAGGAAGATGAGGGCGATGTGTTCTCTCTCCCCCAGGTCCTCCAGAAACAAAGTGCAACAAGTTCTGAGAAGCCAATGCCTTTCAACACTCCAAGAGCATCGTAGACATCCAAGAGTATTATAGAAGTTCTTTTATACAACAAATCTGCAAATGTCAGATATTCTTTTCAGCTTAATGACAGTTTTTTTAATACTCCTCTATGATTTCTTCTGTTCCCCAATTTGTAGGCAGACATGAATTTGGCAGCTGCTATAGAAATGGGAAAATTATAAGGCATGCTGAACGACTTAATGACTAGATATATCTTTGAAATGTATTTTCCCTACATTCTCCTAATTAATTACAACTTTGAACAGTTGGATAGCAGATAAATTGACAGAAGGCTTTCACCCTCTGGCTGAAATAATCATAATATAGTAAATAATTCTTCAAATTTTATGACCCCAGAGTGTAGTAAGTAGAACTGCGCTTTTCACAGCGGAAAGTAAAAGTGTTTCAAAATAAAAAGAAAGAAAGAAAGCAGTCTCATTCACAATAGATTCAAAAACAATAAATTTATGTTGGAATAAATTTAATCAAAAAAGTGAAAGGTCTCTATAATAAAAATTATAAATCACTAAAGAAATTAAGACACACACACACACACACAAAAAAAGACATCCCATGTTCACAGACTGGAAGAATTGATAGTTAATATGTCTAAACTACCCAAAGTGATTTATAAATATGATGTAATCCCCATCAGTATACCAATGATATTCTTCACAGAAACAGAAGGAAAAAAAAACATTAAATTTACATAGAATCACTAAAGACCATGAGTAAATAAAGCAATCCTTAGCAAGACAAATCTAGAATCTAAAAGTGTAACAATATGTCAATTCAAAACATACCTCACAATAAACACATCAATTGAACACAATAGAAAATTCAGAAAATAACACAATTTATTTATTTATACCCAATTCATTTTCAACAAAGATGGCAAGAAACTGGAGAAAAAGTCTCATCAACAACAAATGGTGTTTGGAAATCTGGATCTATATATGCAAAAAAATGAAATCAAATCTCTTCCTCTCAAAAATCAACTCAAAATGGATCAAAGTCTTACATATAAGACCTAAAACAATGAAATTACTATGAGAAAACAGGAGGAAACACTTCGAAACATTAATATAGGCAAAGGTTTTTTGCATAACACCTCAAAAGCAAAGACAACAAAAGCAAAACAAGGCAAATGGGCTTCTTTCAAACTAAGAAGGTTCAGCACCAAAGAAAATTGTGAGCAGAAGTGACAACATGCCTGCAGAATGGGAAAAATCTGTCAAGTATTCATTCAATGAGAGAGTAATCCAGGACACACAAGGAACTCAACAGCAAAAGAACAAATACTTTGATTTTTAAAATGGGCAAAATATGTGAATAAACATTTCTAGAAAAGACAAATTGGGAGTGAAATGAAGTAAATCAAATTCCATGCATGTATTTGTCAAAATGAACCCAACTCTTATGTATAACTGTAATGAAGTAATGAAAGAAAGAAAAAGAAATGGCCATAAGTATATGAAAATATGTTCAATATCACAAACCTAAGGGAAAGAGAAATTAAAAACACAACGAGTCAGACACAATGGCACACGCCTGTCATCCCTGTGGTCTGAAAGGCTGAGGCAGGAGGAGAGCAAGTTCAAGGACAGCTTCATCAACTTGGCAGGCGAAGCCCTCAGCACCTTAGCAAGACCTTATCTCAAAATAAAAAATAAAAGGGCTGGGATGTAGCTCATGGTAGAGCATCCCTGGGTTCAATCCACAGTACCCAACAAAAACCACAATGAGATATCATCTCACCCTAGTCCACAAATGGCTATAAACAAACAAAAAGGCAAAAAATAACAAATGTTGATGACAATGTGGAGAAAGGGGAATTCTCACACACTGTTAGGAAAGTGAATTAATATGGTCACTATGAAAAACAGTATGAAGGTTACTTAAAAAAAAAAACTAGAAAGAGAACAACCATGATCCAACACCATTTCTAGGTACATATATAAAGGAAATGAAATCATTATTTCAGAGATACCTGCACTTTTTGATTATTACAGTACTCTTTGTTGTTGTTTTGATACCAGAGATTGAACCCAGGGGTGCTTAACCACTGAGCCACACCCCCAGCCCTTTTTGTATTTTATTTTGAGACAGGGTCTTGCTGAGTGGTTAGGACCTCCCTAAATTACTGAAGCTAGCTTTAAACTCACAATCCTCCTGCCTCAGCCTCCCAAGTCACTGAGATTACAGGCATGTGCCACCACACCTGGCTATAGAACTCTCCATAATACCTAAGATAGGCAATCAACCAAGGTAGCCACTGATGGATGAATGGATTAAAATGTGGTATTTGTACACATGTGGAATATTGTTTAGTTATAAAAAGGATGAACTCCTGTCATTTGTGGAAATTTGGATTGAACTGGGTTATGGGAAATAAGCCTGGTACAGAAAGAAAAATATTACATGTTATCACTTTATGGAAGCTAAAAATGTTGATCTCATAAAAGAGGGAAGGGCAAGAGGAGAGAGATGTTAGATGAGAGGTTACCAATATATGGTTAATATAGTAGGAATAGTCCTAACGTTCTAGAGCACAATAGGACAACTGCAGCATACAACAGTTTATATACCTCACAGGAGGTTCCCAGCACCAAAAAAAAAAAAAAATGTTTGAGGAGATGGAAATACTAACTACTCTGATTTGATCATTTTACACGGTATACACTATACCCCACATGTACATATACTGTCAAATTTTTAAAATTGCATTTTCCCATAAATATGCACACTACTTCTCAGTAAATTTAAAATGAAAAACATTTTTAATAACTATAGATACAAAAAGTTTTAAATAAATTATTGGCAAACTGAATCCTACAGGATTTATAAAAACACCGACACACTAGTAAGAATGGGAAAGGACTGGGCCGCAACCAGAAAGGCGATGAGAAAATCAGAGCCAATAAGGAACAGATTTAGATAAATTCCACATTTGAAATTTTAGAAGAAATGGCCATTTTCTAGCAAAATATGAGTGAGTCAACTTGACTCAAGAACAGGTAAAAATGTGGACAGAAGAGAAGCTCTCAGAGAGGCCTTCTGAAAAGGCTGTAAAATATCATAAGCGAGACAAAATTTCCATAGTGAATTCAATCTTTCAGCTTTATTCTTATAGTATTGTTCTCCTTTTTTTTTTCAGATTTCAGGAAAAGAACTCAAAATGAAGTTTGCAATCAAAGATGACTGGGAAGAAATTTTATCTTTTGGAATCAAGGTCTTCTTGTGTTGTCCAGGATGGTGAACTCACAGCGTTGTGGTGTAAATTAATCAATAAAATCAGTAACAGTGTAAGTTATAGGTTATAAATTAGTAAAAAAAAAATATATATATATATATAGAGAGAGAGAGAGAGATTATAGATATGATTTTGATAAGTGAGGTAAGACAATTATAAATCAAGAACTGACATAGGAAGGCCTACGACTCCATTTTACTGCCTTCTATAAAACACTGTTACAAGAGCTGTTTTTGAGAAACTGAAATGAAAACTGTTTTCTTATTATATATTGTTTTCTGTATATTGTACCCCACAAGTTGTACCCTACTCAGGATGCAGCAGTGGTTGTGGTAAGCTGCATCCTGGGTTGGAGTGCCCTCGTGGGTCTACATGACTTTGAAATAGACTCTTGCCCCTGCCAACCCCTGCTCAACTCAGGATACGACTTGTCTAATACCTGCTCGGACCCAAGATGTGGCTAACCGAGTTGCAAAGCTGACCGCTTTTTTCCTAGCTTCTGTAATTGGCTTCCTTGCATGATGCTAAGGAAAGCCCCCGAGTTGTGGTTCATCTTTAGGTTCCCAGGACATAGGCCAGGAAGCTACTGTTCTCCCACAGAGCTTCAATCTCTACGGGTGAGTGACAGTCCCTGGCCAGGTAAATAAAGCTCTCTTGATTTGAATTTGGACTTAAGAGTGTTTTCATAAATCCAAATTTGGACTTTTAACAGGCTCTTGTGATCCTCCGGCCTCAACCTTCTGAGTAGCCAGGACCATTTTGGTGTCGTACTGCACAGGGCTGTGTCAGGATTTCCTCAAGAAAGGTCCTGTGGTTGGGAAGCAAGGCAGAGGAGCATGAAGACCCTCGAGCACCCTGCAGCCAGCCACACTGGAAACAACCGCACACATTAACATGGGGTTTGGCAAACCAATTCAGACAAATTCAGACCACTGCTGATTTGTGTATTATATGAATTTTTTATATTTTGGTTAAAAAAACAAAAATAGTAATTCATATCACATGAAAATTATATGAAATTAGAAAGGAGAATTACTGAGGAATGAAAATGATCAAATTAGGGGCTGGGGTTCTATCTTAGTGGTAGAGCGCTTGCCTAGCATGCATGAGGCATTGAGTTCGATCCCCAGCACCACATAAAAATAAAGAAAATAAATTCATTCTGTCCATCTACAACTAAAAAAAAATTTAAAAAAATAGAAAATGTCAAATTATATTGTTGTGTGCATGTATGAATATATAACAACGATTTCCACCATTATGTACAACTGCAACGCACCAAAAATCATGGAAAAAATTATATGAAATTTGCATTTCAGCCAAGCATGGTGGCACACGCCTATAATCCCAGTGGCTGAGGAGGCTGAGACAGGAGAATCGTGAGTGAAATAATCTATAATTTTAAAGAAAAATCTATTACAGGAGGTTGTGTTCTATCCACATGTGGCCCTTGGCAGAACTCCTGGCTATGTAGGATACCATGTGGTTCAAGATTCAGGGACACAGTCCCTCCTTCAGTCTTCAGTTTATATTTCTGTGAAGTCAGGATAACAATGAATGCCTATTTGGCTGCTGTAATGAGAAAAAAGGATATGAAAACTGAGATTTTTTTTTAGTTGAGGATAAACACAATATCTTTATTTGCTTATTTTTATGTGGTGCTGAGGATTGAACCCAGTGCCTCACACATGTGAGCACTCTACCACTGAGCTACAGCCCCAGAACTAAAAACTGAGAACTTTTGAACTGTATATGCTAATAAAGTTTAAAATGTTAAGCCACCCAAGCTTGCACAAAGCTGTGACTGAAAGCTCTTACTGTCTTGGTAAAACATCCCAGTGGGCCAGCATCAGTGCAGTGTGGAGGATCATATGACAGAGAGATTTCAGATCAAATTCTGATGATGCATGCAAACATTGGAACACTACAACAGCCGCCATCCCAAGTACTGTTGGTCAATTCTGTCTTCACAAGGCAGCACCCCAAGAAAGCAAAACTGTGCCACCTAAGTGACATTCAAATTTCAAACATGCTCCACCCCACGCTTATTACCAGTATGACCTGGCACTGTGACTGAGCCAAACTGTGCTCATATTTCTTATCAGCAAAAGGGGGCTCCCTCTCCCAGCGACTCAGGAGGCTGAGTGAGGGAAGAGGATCTCAAATTAAAGGCCACCTCAACAACTTAGGAAACCCTGTCTTGAAACAAATAATAAAAAAGATTATGAATGTAGCTGTATGGTAAAGAAACCAGTGCAAAAAAAAAAAGTTTTGCAAAATAATTAAGAAAGATCATAAAGACAAAGGCATTACAAAGACCAAAGTAACACAAAGGTTCGATTTCTTCCCTGCCTTCCCTTCCTAGGGACCAGCTCACCTCATGCAAGTCCCAGGCACGGACAGTGCAGTCTGAGGACACAGTGCAAACCACAGACTTCTTTCTGTCAAACTGGTGCTCGTTGGTTGAGATGTAAGCCAGCTTATTTATCTCTCCTGTAAGAGAACACAGAGATGGCCTGGGATCTGAGCACGCAGTGGAAAGGCTGGCAGGAATGCCACCTCTCTCTCTCTTGGGAACACAATGGGCACTCAGGGGACAATAAAATAGAAAAGCACTAGCACTTTACAGTAATAATTAGGGACTGACCATCACCCACCAGTCATATGATCTTGAACTACTCCCTTTTCCATTAGTTTTTGTTTCTGTCTACTCTGAAATGTGATGATTCTTTTCCTCACAGGGTTATTGTGACATACCACAAATGATATGGAACCCAGCAAGATAGGTACTCATGAAGTGACACTTTTTTAGGCCACTCACTGCAATGCCAAATTCCATAAGACTTGCCCAGGGCAGGGCGTCATGGCATATACCTCAAATTCCAGCAGCTTGAAGCAGAAGGAGTCAAGTTCAACAACAGCCTCAGCAACTTAGCAAGATCCTGTCTCAAAATTTAAAAGAGCTGGGGATGTGGCTAGGTGGTTAAGCACCCCTGAGTTTAATCCCCTGTACAAAAGACTTGACCAGGGAAGGTGAGCAGTATGAATGGACATATCTGCTACATTCTGCCCCTCATACCCGTGTGTCCAAAAACTGCTTTGCAAATGAAGTCCTTCTCTGGCCGCCCAGTCTCCATTCGGAACTCCAACTCGGACCGGCAGAGGTAGTACTGTTTCCATGTCTGTGTGCCCAGGACCGTGGGGCAGGACCAACGCCTCAAACACAGCTGCCTAAAAACAGATGCAAATTCTAGGCAGACAGAATACAGCAGGCATGGATTCTGGAGTCCTATTTTGTAGTTGAGCTCTGGATCCTGGCTCTGTTATTTACTGGTTTTGAAACCTTGGACAATTAATGTTGCTGACCTACATCTTGATTTCCTCTCCTATAAAACAGGACAAAGATAACACTGAATGAGGCCAGGCGTGGTGGTGCATGCCTGTAATCCCAGTGGTTCGGGAGACTAAGGATCAAGAGTTTAAAGCCAGCCTCACCAAAGGCGAGGCACTAAGCAACTCAGTGAGACTCTGTCTCTAAATAAAATACAAAATAGGGCTGGAGATGTGGCTCAGTGGTTGAGCACCCCTGAGTTCAATCCCTAGTACCAA